AGGCTGAACTCAGCATGGCACCTTGCCTTGAATTTCTCCCACATCACTTCTGAACACCGCCTGTTTCTTGCACGGATGCCTCCCATGCAGCCATGCTGAGAAGACACACACAGTCGCAAACCAAGCTCTCTCTTCGCCCACCTCCCCGCCCCCCGCACACGCGGTGCTGGAAATTGGCTCCATTCCCCACATGGAAAGTTTTTATTCATTTCTGCCGGAATAATGAAGACAGGTACATTTTTCAGCCGGGCGATGTGGCCTCATTATTTTCCCATCAGTGGAAGCTGCCGATGTGTCTTGTTCCCCAGCGTGCACGCACTTCACGCCGACGTTCCCTGGCAGCCGCTGTCCGCTTGGCTGTCAGGGGGACCGGGTGATTCGGGCCAGCGGTGAAAGCTTTGCTCCCAGCGATGTCTCCTTTCCCTGGCCCGCCGGGAAGTCTGGACCCCTGGCTGCCGGTAGCTTATCTTCTCCACTTCCTCTCCCCAGGGACAGCCTCTCTGACTTCTAAGCCCCAGGCGGAAGGGAGCACGAATTAGATCAAGACTCTGGCCCAAGCAGACCCACATCCAACGCTGGATCCAGGGAGTCCAGGCTGCGGGCCTCGCCGTGCTTCCTGGCTTCTCTAAGCCTCAGTCTCCTCATCTGCAAAATGGATGATGAATCGCTCCCGGGTCATGGGGCCCTCGTGCAGATGAATAGGATTGTGCGTTAGAGCGTTTCCAGAGCCCGGGATGTGAGTTGGACTCCCTAGCAAGGATCTGACTCTGTTAGGAGGCTTCAGCCGCACAAAACGTAAAACCCAGCTCTAACCAGCTCAAACAACAATGCGTGCTTATTTCCTCTTCTAACGGAGACACCAGAGGCCCCCAGGTTCCAGGCACAGCATGGTCTGGCCCCTGGCCCTGCTTCCCTGTGGTTCTCTCGGCTCTGTCTTCTCAACATAGTCTTTGTTTTGCGGCTGGCTGTTCTTATTATGGTCACGGTATGGTTGCTGGGAGCCACCCCTTGGCTCAGACCCCCTTTCCCATTGAGGAAGAGTAAGCACTTCACTTCCTACAATCATCAGTCGTGACCCCTGAGGTTTACTTGGAGGGACCAGCTCTGTGTCAAGACGGGGTGACGCTGGCTCACGCCTCTGTCCCTGCTGTCTGGCGGGAAAGGGAGGGAACACGCATTGCCCTCCTCGGTAATTAAGCACCTAGCTCAGTTCTCGACACCACTCCCGCCGTAATCCTTGACGTGGTCCCAGCCTGGATTTGTGAGCCATCATTACAATCCCTTCCTCAGCAAACTCCCAGCCTTGTACCCACTCACTGCCTCTGTCCTGCCTGCACCTGCAGAGGTGAGCGGTGACCTCAACCTGAGTGGCGAATCAGGAGCCTAAAGCTCTGACCACGGCCCGTAGACTTCTTAGGATAACGGGCGATTTTCCTACTTCTTCACAAACAGAGCCATTGATTTCCAAACCCACGGAACCATTCTTGCTCCCATCTTCTTGGTTGTTTACGACAAACAGAGAACCTTGTGTCCACATGTGACCTTTTCCTTCATCCAAAAGTTGCCTTTTCTAAAGAAAGCTATGCATGGGAAAAGATTTTTGCTGAGCATGAACCCTGCACTTCCAGTTTTCCAATAGGCTCTGAGATGTAAAATTAATAATGCTTACCGGCATGACAAAACCTGGAACCAGCGGGCGCCTTGATCTCCCGCAGGTCCTGCTCTGCTCTGACCCTGCAGAGCAAGTGGATTCCACCAGGTCTTCACTTATTAAGAAGCATTTCTCCTATACTCCACTGCCCTGGGCTGACATGGGACAGACATTTCTGTCCAGTAGGCACATATCTCCCTCAGCTTGGGGTGGGGTCAGCCAAAGATCCATCTGGATTCTGCGGGACTGACAGCCGCCCTCTGCAGAGTGACTTAGCACAAAACATGCCACCCCCATCCCCCGCATCGGCCCAGACAGCCCCTGTTCATCTGCCTGTGGAGGGAGGGGGTCAGCCTGCTCTGGGACACTGAGTAAACCTTGCCTTGGCCCTGCCCCGAGGGTCCCCAGTTTTGCACAGCGGTGGCTGGGAAGGATGGAGGCTGCTGCCCGACCCATGGACCACACAGCAACGGGCTCCTTGCAGGTGATGTCATGGGCAGAACCACAGTCACATGTGGCTGTGAGAACCTCTCAGGGTCCCCATCCGAAATGACCCCGCCCGTCACACCCTATCAAGCTCCCTATTCTGTCCCTTTTGGAGCATCTGCCAGGACTGAAGCTGCCCAGTTTTTGCTTCCGTATTTCTTGAGGTTGACCCCTCTCCCTGCTGCCAGCACCCCTCCCGAGTGTGAGCCCCCAGCAGGCAGGCTGCTCGCCCCCAAGATCCCGGCGGCAGGAGGATGAAGACCTGTGAGAGCTGAGTCCAGGTCATCTCTGCTCCATGAGGAGCCTGGCAGAGCCACATCCTGGAACAGAGATGACACCTTGCAGAAAGCATTAGAAACGCCAAGGATGTGGAGTTTGCTAGAGACATCCCCTCCCTTCCACAGGCATTGGCCACCTCAATTCCCCCGCGCCCCTCTCTCAGGCATCTGGCTCTCGTGTTTGTCTTTGGATGCTGCTATTTCTGGGGGCTCCGAAGGACCCTGAGCCTGGGCTGCAAGGTGCCCTCCTGCCGGACTGCAGGGAGTGGCTGCTTTGCCTTCTGCTGAGAAAAGGTAAAGCCTGCTCCACTCTCCTGTCCACCACGAGTCCTGAAGATCTCCAGGAGCCCCGTAGCAAAGGCAGCCGCTGGCCCTGCAAGTGTGTTCTGGGGAAGTGCTGAGCCCCAACCCCCTTCCACGAGCCAGCCCCATCATCACCGTCTCCAGGAAGGATGTATTATGACACCCCTAAAGGCCCCACCAGCAGCCTCATGAAAACACTAATTAGCATGTCAGAGAGCTTTCAGTTTGTCAAAGCTGTTAATCCTCTCGTTACAACGCCCACCCAGGCAGGCAGGCAGAAATCAGCACCTAGCCTCCAGCATCGGTGAGAGTGACCTCAGGGAGGTGGCCACGAAGTCCCCGGCCAGGGCACGGGCTTGGCATGGGGACCCAGGGCTTAAGGGTGCAGCTATGCACACCCTGTCCTACCCCGAGGGGGCAAGATTCCACCAGGTAACCAGCAAACTGTCAGTGGCGCCTCTCGATCTGCACCAGAGTTGGCTCCGTGGGTCCCGCTTGGGGCCAGGTGGGAAGTTCAGCCGCTGGCTGGGGCATGAGGTAGGTCACTCCTGTAGATGATGGACATGGGGGAGGCCTCTTAAGGACGGCACCTGCCCCGCTGGACGTCGGGTCCCAATGGCCAAGCTCGCCATAACAGGAGGGGAAAGGGTTCCTCCCTGGGAGGTGAGGGGTGGGAGGGAGGGAAGATTTGCTGAATAATGATCAGCCACAGCCTCTCTCTGGTATCCTGTGGTTTTCTGATTCTTTAATTCCAGGGTCGTGCAGCAGGGCAGTGCTGAGCACCAGGAACCAGCACTGGTGCCCTAAGTGCCAGGCATCTGGGCTGCCGCCTTCCTCGAGCTCCTCACTGGCCATCCACCTGTGTCTATTCCTCCCCTTGGTCCTGGCAGGCTGTGGGGCCCCAGAGACGAGGGCAGCCCAGTCCCAGGTACTTGGAAGGCGAAGAAGCGTGTGATGCATCCTCAGAAAAATGGGAGGCTCAGTCCCCTACGCCTCCCTCCCTAGCCCCCAAATAAATGAGCTGCCACTCAGCAGTAAGCTGGAGATCTGTCTCCCTCTGAGCCTCGCTGACTGCCATGCTCTTGACACGCGGATCCATCTCCACACCTCCTAAATTTATAGACAGCTGCAGCACATCCCCTCCCAGGCAAATACATTAGCAATGATGAATACAGGCTCTAGCCTCCAAAACAAATGCCCTGGGTGTGTAATTTAAAGACAGGGTGGTGGAGTCGCAGGCAGAAGCCAGGCCCTCGGAGCTCAGGCTGCACCTCGGGGTCCCCCTAGAACTCTGCGACCCGCCGGATGGGGGCCTTGGGCTTTAGCTTCTCTGGCCAAGTGCTCATGGTTGAGAAAGAAAAAATGACCCACATGGGCTGCCCAGGGATGTCAGATAACCTTCTCCAGGGCTGGCGTCCAAACGCAACAAAAGCGTTTCCTGAAATACGCTTCAGGGGCACCTGTCCCCCGGGAAGCTCTGTGCAAAAACGCACTGTTCTCGGTTAAGTGCAGGAAGTGCTCTCCGCTACTTCCTGCCCTGGGCAACTCACAGGCCCCTGCAGCCCTGGTCCGCCTGTCCTTGGCCATCGCTGACCGCTCACCACAGCTTGGCGTCGCCCTGTGCGCGATGTGGACGTGCGCGGAGTGGGCAAGCACCTCTCTCCCTGCACCTCCCCTCGGTGGTCCAACCGGGAAGGAGACACTGGAGCATCAGAAGGTTCTGATTGAAACCAGTGGCTGAGGATGGGCCAGTCAGTCACACTAGCCACAGGGTGACAGTGTTTAGTGGCTCCCCGCCTCCTCCTGCTGCCCAGGCCTGAAGAATTTGGGGCTGAGGCCTGGCGGCAGGAAGACAACCCACCTTCCTGCCTGGGAAGAAGGCAGTCACTCCCCTGCTGAAAACCCTTGAGGCTCCCACCCAGCTACACATCCAGCTCTGACTCTCTCTCCCCATGCAGGCTCCAGGCACACAAGGCCCCTGGCTGCCAAGCTGAGGTGTTTGCAAGGTGCCTTCTGTCCGTCATTTCTCCTTGGGCCCGAGGTGATGTCGTGGCGTGGGCTGGCAATGGGAGCTCCACACCATCTGCTGGTGTGAACTCGCCGACTGGTGAGCTTGCCCGGGTGTAGGAGGCCCGGCCGGAATGAGGACCCAGGGCCCGTCCCTACTCCCACCGCCTTCCCCCGCCTTTCCTTCCCCCATGCAGGACATGGGGCCCCTGGCCTCCTCCTCACAGGACTGGAATCCTGTGGCTGGAACAAGATATTGTACAGATACGATATTCTACAATTCATAACTCACTGCATTAGATGAGAGATTCATAAGGGTGTGAAGATCCTACTACGAAAAGTCTCCTAGGGTGGATCAGGAATGAAGGAAAGGTGACATCTCAATTACGCACCTAGGCAAACAGGAAGGTTCAAGAAACGCCAGCCTGGAAACGGTGGTGCCAGGTTCCAAGCTGGTGGAGGAAGTGTGCTGTCACCAGAGAGAGGCCACTGCCTGAAGTGTATCTACAGATGATCCTTGGGAACTGCATTGGTTGGGGTATCAACAGATGTGAGTTCCGCTTCCAGATGTCTTGTGTGTAAGGCGACCCTGCCCTCCATGACCCTTTCTGTAAAGCAGAAGGTCTCCAGCCTGCCTCTCAGAGATGCCATGTTAATAAAAATTAAGTCTGCAGCATGAGAAAGAAACATTCGGGAGGAGTTTAAGCTCCTCCAATGGCAACCTTTGACTTGACCTCCGACCCCAGCTGCATTTCCAGACTTTGGCCATCTTCTGAGGCCCGCCACACAGGAGCAGGTTGTCCTTTTTTCATACTTTTCTCACCTCCTCATCCTTGACCAGCCATCTGCTCAAACAAGAATGGGTTGCACCCTCTCCATTGCTCAGAAGCAGGAAAACAACTCGCTTTTTTGACACCATTCAAAAAAGTGTTCAATGTCCCCTTTAAGCAACCTTTCTTGGCCTGGTGTGGTGGCCCATGACAATATAATCCCAGCTCTTGGAGAGACCAAGGTGGGAGGATCGCTTGAGCTCAGGAATTTGAGACCAGCAAGCGAGACCCAGTCTCTACAAAACATACAAAAATTAGCCAGGCGAGCTGGTGCGCACCTGTGGTCCCAGCTACTCAAGAGGCTGAAGCAGGAGGATCGCTTGAGCCCAGGAGGTTGAGGCTGCAGTGAGCCCTGATTGTACCACGGCACTCCAGCCTGGGTGACAGAGTGAGAACCTGTCTCAAAAATAAAATAAAATAAAATCAATAAAATAAGTAAAAAATAAGATAAAAAGCATTTCCTGATTATCCCCACCCCCAAGAAAAATTCATAGCTGACAGCTCTGTTTGACAGGGTGACGTGTCCCCCTGGCCCGAAGCTCTCACCAGGAAGCAGGCCAGCACCAGGGGTCACAGCAGGACTCGTGTCAGAGCACTCGGCTCGTTTCCTTTGAACATTCCCAGTGGTTGTCACAGAGTTCATCACTTACATTTTTAACTCACCACACACAGCCGTCCTTCACGTAACACTGCGCCGCTTCTCAGGAGGGTCGGGCCGCAGCACCTGTGCCCATCTCCTCCACCCCGTCCTTGGTGTTACCGCTGTGATCTCACGAGGGTTGGGCCACAGCACCTGTGCCCATCTCCCCCACCCTGTCCTTGGTGTTACCACTGTGATCTCATGAGGGTTGGGCCATGGCTCCTGTGCCCATCTCCCCCACCCTGTCCTTGGTGTTACCACTGTGATCTCACGAGGGTTGGGCCACAGCATCTGTGCCCATCTCCCCTCCAGTCCTTGGTGTTACCACTGTGATCTCATGAGGGTCAGGCTGTGGCACCTGTGCCCATCTACCCCGTGTCCCTGGTGTTACCTCTGTGATCTCATGAGAGTCAGGCCGAAGCACCTGGGTCCATCTCCCCCCCCCCCCCCCCCACCGTTGGTGTTATCACTGTGATCTCACGAGGGTCAGGTCATGGCACCTGTGCCCATCTGCCTCCCCCATCCTTGGTGTTACTTCTGTGATCGCACGAGGGTCTGGCTGCAGCACCTGTGCCTATCTCCCCCACCCTGTCCTTGGTGTTACCACCGTGATCCCACGAGGGTTGGGCCACAGCACCTGTGGCCATCTCCCCCACCCTGTCCTTGGTGTTACCACCGTGATCCCACGAGGGTTGGGCCACAGCACCTGTGCCCATCTCCCCTCCAGTCCTTGGTGTTACCGCTGTGATCTCACGAGGGTTGGGCTGTGGCATCTGTGCCCATCGCCACCCTGTCCTTGGTGTTACCACTGTGATCTCCTGAGGGTTGGGCCGTGGCACCTGTGCCCATCTCCCCCAATCCTTGATGTTACCGCTGTGATCTCAAGAGGGTTGGGTCATGGCACCTTTGCCCATCGCCACCCTGTCGTTGGTGTTACCTCTGTGATTTCATGAGTGTTGGGCTGTGGCACCTGTGCCCATTTTCCCCCGTCCTCGGTGTTACTGCTGTGGCTGTGATCATTTCACTTCCCTATGCTATAAACCCCACCCTAAGCTTTTAATACGTTTGCTATAAACAGACAATTGTATTTCTGAGAGAGCAAAGCAATGGGAAAAACATAATTTCCCACACAGTGATCCTGTCTGGCTCTCCTCAATCCTCAGTGCAGATTCGAATTTCCATTTAGCATCATTTTTTTTTTTCTGCCTAAAGAATTTTCTTCCACATTTTTGGCAATAATTTTCCTTATTCTGTATGTCTAAGAAATGTTTCCTGCACCTTCTTTATTGAAAAATATTTTCACTGGTATGGAATCTTAGGTTGGCCGCTTTCCCCCCATTTATGTGTTTGAAAGATGCTGCTCCACGCTCTCCCAGCCTGCGTGAGTTTTGGTGAGAAGTCTGATGTCCTTCCTATTCGTGTTCCTTTGTTTATCTCTGGCTGCTTTTAGCCTTTTTAAAGTCTTTGGCTGTTAGCAATGTGATTACAGCATGCCTTTTTTTTTTTTTTTTTGAGGCGTAGTCTCACTCTGTTGCCCAGGCCAGAGTGCAGTGGTGCGATCTCAGCTCACTGCAGCCTCCACCTCCTGGGTACAAGTGATTCTCCAGCCTCAGCCTCCAAAGAAGCTGGGATTACAGCTGTGTGTGGTTTTAATTTTTTTTTTTTTTTTTTTTGTATTTTTAGTAGAGACGGGGTTTCCCCCATGTTGGCCAGGCTGGTCTCGAACTCCTGACCTCAAGTGATCCACCCAACTCGGCCTCCCAAAGTGCTGGGATTACTGGTGTGAGCCACCACGCTCTGCCTGATTACGACATGCTTTGGTCTGATTTTCTTTGTGCGTGTACATCTAAAACCTCGTTGAGATCTTTCAATCTTTGGGTTTTATCATTTTCTTCAGATGTAGAGAATTTTCAGCGATTATTTCTTCAAATATTTTTTCCCTACTTTCTTCCTTGCGAGACCCTGAATCCAGTGTGTTCCGTCACTGTATGGGACCTCACAGATCACACCCATGTGCTTTTTTATCCTGTCTTTTTCCTCTTTGTGCTTCAGCTGGACGGCGTCTTCAAGTGACATTTTTCAGTTCACTGATCTTCTCTTTTCTGTACCATCTAATTGGCTGATAATCTCCTCTATTGTATCTTATGGCCGCGAGTGTATTTTTCATCCCCCTGGGTGTTTACCTCCCATCTCTCTTCTCATTATCTTCACATTCTCCTCTATATTCTTGGACATACGAAGTTATTTATAGTAGCTATCTTTATGTCTTTCTCCGCCGATTTGATTGTCTGTGTTATTTTGGGGTCCGCTTCTGTTGGTTGATTTTTCTCCTGATGTTGTGTTATATTTTCTTGCTTCTTTGTTGCCAAGTAATTTTTGATTGGATGTTGACAATTATGAATTTCGTTTTCATCCTTTAAAGAGTGTGGGACTTTCTCTTGATTCTCAGTGAAGTTACTCGGCGTCCGTCTGCCCCTTTCAAGTCTTTCTTTACATGTTTTTAACATAGGTAGATAGCAGCCTTTAGTCTGGGACTGGGGTGCTACCTTCCTAAGGCTGCTGCCTGCCGCTGCATCCCACTTGGTTGGGAGAATCTGAATTATTCCCAGACCGTGTGAGTTCTGGGAGTTGTCTGGCTTCCTACTTCCCAGGGGTTCTGTCCACTTCTGCGTGCAGTTTCGTACAGGCATGTGCAGACAGGAGCACTGCCAGCGGCTTGAGCTCCTCCTGCAAGCCCTGGGACCTCTGTCTGTGCATCCCTCTGCTCCCTGGTACTTTGCTGTGCAAATCCCAGCCACCTTGGTCTCTCAGAATCCTGGTCTCTGATTCTTCAAGGCAGTGAGGCCACTGGGCTCTGCCTCCCAGCCATGGGGGTGGCAATCACTCAGAGGGCCCAGCTGCTGGTGTCCCTCCTCTCTGTGCTGGCAGCTCTGTCCTCCTGCCTCCAGTATCTGAAGACTGTAGCCCCACATGCGTGGAGAGGGAGGACTGGATCACCACCTCTGAAGCTCAGCTTTGCCATCTACTAATTGCAGGACTTCTGGCTGGCTACTTAATCTCCAAGCCTCCTTTCTCCCGTCGGTAAAATTGGAACACGGACAGCACCTTCCTAAAGTGGACCTAGCGCTTTGCACAGGGCCTGGCATGTGGTGTCACTTGCGGGTGAGTACCTGGCTACAGATCTGTTTTCCGCACCAGACTGCAACGTCCTTGAGGCAGTGCCTGTTCCGGCTCCGTGTTCCTTGACGGAGGACAATCTGCAGATACAAGGATGTCCAACGAAGGGACCTGGAATGAAAGTGTGGGAGACGGGGAAGCCAGCGGGTATTTTCCATGAATGATTTTGACACTCAGTCGTCCCCCCTTGCACGTGCATTTTACACACACGTCTTCCTTCTTTGCCAGCACTGGCCCTGCCAAGAGGCACCCTGGGCTCCAGGTCCCAGTGGCCATCAGACAGCTGAACACCCAGAGACCAGCTGGGCGTTCAAGTCCCACAGCTCTTCGGGACTTGTCAAGTCTTATCCTATGTCTCTGTACAATTTGGCTGAATCCCCTATCTTTCTGTGCCTCAATTTCCCTGCCTTTAAAATGGAGGTGTTTGGAGCTCAGTGGTTCTCCAGCTTTGTTAGTGGCAGAAATTTCTCTTTCTCCAGACTGACCTGAAGCAGAGGAGAGTAGAACTACTCTGGAAGAAGCAGGGTGGGGCCCTGAGGGCCTGGAAATGACCAGAAAGGATGTTCTCTTAGTCCCTTGGGGCGTCTGTTTCCCCATCTATAAAATGTGGCTAACAAGGGCACCTCCCTCACTGAGTGAGTAAAAGGTCAGGGTGAGGCCATCCAGATGACCGGCCTGGGGCTTGCACCTGTGCTGGGTAACTGTCAGCCATCACCATCATAATCAGCTTCCCTCCTACCCAGGGAGAGACCCTAGGAGGGGAGGGGGCATTTCACATAGACCAGGTGCTGTACAAACTCAGTGAACCCCAACTGCCCCACCAAGTGAGCACTCTGTATTTACAGGCAAAATTCGGAGACTCAGCTAATACAAGGGACTTGTCCAAGGTCACTCCAACAGCCAGCAGCAGTGACAAGGTTCATAGCACATCTGTCTCACTCCAGAAAGCCCATCTTTTCCCCATCCCCTGCCCACTTGGCTCCAGCCTTTTTGAACATCTCCCTGAAGCTGTGATTGTCACACTGACCCGTCAGCCTGCCCTCCATGATAAGCACTAAAATGATCGCCAAGGGCATCCTCTGCTGGATGGGGCAAGTGCGCAGAACCTCTGTCTGCATTCGGCTTAGTGGAGTCACGGGATGCAGCCTGGTTGCACAGACTCTCGTACCCTGGGACTCAGTGGCACTGGCTGTGGCAGAGGCTGCCCCTTCGCTGGAGCCAGCATTAGCAGAGTTTCTTGGTGTCTAGTGGGATTCTGTGAATCGTCATGGTGGAGAATTTGTATCTTGCCTCGAGAGACAGCAGTTCTTCATCCTCGGGATTTAGAATAAGCTCCTTGCAGAAGTCTGGATGCCTAAGGACACCTGGAGCAAATTTAACACAAACTTTCACCATCTCCCCACTCCCAAGGAGGAGCGCGTGCATGAGGACCCAAGTCCCAGAGCTCGTGGAGTACCCATGTCTCAGCACTCTGGCTACGGGCAGGAGAGGCCAGTCTTGGAGATGGAGCCCTTTCATCCTCAGGCTCCGGTCTCCTAAGATGAATGAACAGGGGAAATGGGTGTTTCCAGAGCACTGGGAGGCTCCACCTCCTCTCAGCTGCATAAAATCATGCCTACGGATCCCCAGCCTGCCAACCCGATGTGCCTTCCTGTGTAACTCCGGACCTGCAGCCTGAGGCTGGGAAGAGCTAATTAGCCTCGGATTTTCCCAATTGTCCCTGCTTTTCACAAAGACCCATCTCAGATCTTCTCTTCGGTCACATCACCCTATTCAGGCTCATTCTCCAGGTGAGATGGGACATGTTTCCTCAGAGGACAAGTTACCCTGCAGGCATGGTCTCGATTCCAGGACCAGACGACATAAATAACTCCACTTCTGCTGCCAGACAATAGTGGCTCTGCACGCAGGTCTCGCGTCAACCCCGAGAACAGCAAGCAAGGCTGCCTGGGACTCCGGCTCCAGATAATCTCTTCTGCCCCATCTCACCACCTCTCCCTGACCTTCAGGCAGTATTCCAGACATACGAGAAAACCTTTTGACTGATCATATTTCTAATTAAGTTTCTCTTTCCATGAAAGAACATAGCTGATTTCTCCTCCTCCTCCTCCTCCTCTTCTTCTTCTTCTTCTTCTTCTTCTTCTTCTTCTTCCT